TTTGAGAATTTGGAAATTTGAAAGAGTAGAATTTGAAACACTGAGATGTCTCTAAGAACTTCACTCCATCTAACTACATTTAACTCCCTCTCTAACTCATCCAAAAATTCTAACACACATCCCAAGTTCTTCAAACTCAAAAGCAACTAACTCCACGACTTCAACCTTCCTCCAAAGAAATCCACTGCATCCAAGCATACATGCACATGATTAAACGTCGAGTGACGTGATATGCATGTCTCTTAATTGATTAATAAAACAATTTGTCTAAAATTGGTTGCGAAAAGCCGCGAAACATCGCAAGTGGCTGAATGATGCGATGGAAAAGCACTGGTCCGTAGTCACATGGTGGTCGGTCAGTGCAAAACGAGTGTATGTGACCGTAACAATAAATATGTCGACGAAGAGTCCACGGTAGCTAAGTAACGTTAACACGTTGAATGCTGCGGGGGTCACCGGTGACCGCCGCTATAAATATACGGAATGTCCAATCAAAGAATATAAATATGCATAAAAAAATGTGTATCGTCACTAAATAAACCCTAGTCCCAAGTCTGTTATCTTTGAATATTTTGAGAAATGGTAGTACAAGTCCAAAATTATCTATTTCCGAATAATCACTAAAGAACAGTGAACTATATGGTCCCATGGTTTCACTTATCACATGTTAGCTATGTGTTTGCCTACAAGTTTTATACAGTGCCGCCACAGGTTGTACAGCTATAAGTTAGAGTGTCACATGTTAGACGGACACGTGCACCCTACTGCTATATTGCCATACAATGTATCACAGCGTTCGGTCACAGGTTGCATAATTACGAGCTAAATTGCTACATGTTAGACTACCACTGAATGGTCCAGTGATACATTGTCATGTGTATAGCTACATATTCTCTACATGTTGTACCACGCACCATGCGTCTGTTGATCTGACTTGGTCCACGTGGTCATGTCAATGAAAGTATTGCAATATTCTTAAATCGCTCCTAGCACTCCAAAGTGGAGTAGTTTGAGAGTCACTGGTACTGATACTACACGACCGTTGAAGTTATCTTGCCAAACATCTGGAAACGCGGTTTCTGGACTTGTACGTATCATCGACTCATCTATTCAATTATGCCGAGCCGTGTCACAAACGTCTGTTCCCATCGCGGCATTGAAAGCGCACGAAACGTCGAGTCCGTCGGCGGGACAAACAAAAACGTCTCGAAAACTATCGGTTCTGCGGACACACGTTAGCCGTTTGTCACATGTGGTCGTGGGTCACGTGAGCATTTTTTAGCACGTTAGTTGCAGCGTCGAAAACGCCTGTTAAATCACGGCACCGAGGAGTCGAGCGGTATCGGGTAAACACGCGCACACTTGCGCACGCATGCGCGGTGTTAAGTGGTTAACCTGCGGGCAGCTTAAGAACGTTCCGCGAGAGACGGTCGTTTCGACCGATATTCCCGTCGCGGCGACGTAATAGCCGGCCACTCGAATCGGCACGAAATCGAGCGGGTGCCGGCGAACGAGCCTAATCGGAAGAAAAGGTCGCGTGACACCAACCTGTCGCTCTTGTCGACGACCGTCAACGCAGCGAACTCCTGGAGCGGTGGTTCCGCGGAGATCCCCTGCGCTCGCTGCTTCCTGGGCCTGGGTTTGGTCGGTGTCAGCGGCGATTTGAACGGCAACACGCTCAGGAACTTGTCCAGGTGGCTCCGTAACTCTTGGATCTCGGCGTCGCGACGACAGAGGAGCGCCTCCAGCTCGGCGATCCTCTCGTCCTTGACGCGGAGTAACTCCTGCAGCTCGCGGAGGGTGCCCATCGCTGTAATCGCGGTCGCTCCGGTGACGTTCGAGATGGCCCTCTGGCCAGCCGCGACCACGGCCACGGCGCCGTGCGTCGGCAGCTGTGGAGCGTCCTCCTCGTCGGCGAGCCGCTGCTGCGTCGACGAGAAGCACAAGGAGTCGAAGCACACGCGCATAGACACGCAGGCGTCGCCGATCGGCACTCTGCACTTGGTACCCTCGTCCATTCAACCCGAACGAAACCGCCGCGATGAAGAGAACAGGAGCCGCGACGAGGAGCACGACCTGGACGGTGCGTCGTCGGCTCGCTCTACTCCACGATTCCGCGCTCTCCAACGCCGGAGGACCAACGTCCTCCACCGTCTCCCGTGACGAGCTTCAACGATCACCGCTATCCTCCTTTTTCCCTAGCCGGTTCGCGCTGTCTCTCTTTGTCATCCCTCCTCCCACCCTGACCAAAGTCTCTCCTCGTCGCTCCATAACCACTTTGTCGCTCCCTCTCCTTCTCTCCTACGCGCTCTGATCTTCCTTCTCTCTTCGACCTTCTCTCTCGCCTCTCTCTGGAGTTACTTGTCACCGTCGCTCTCTTTCTATCGCGATGTCTCTCTTTGTCATCTCTCCGTCTCGGTCTTTCCTCTCTTTCCCTTCGAACGTGTCTGCTTTTCCTTTTCGCTGCTCCTCGTTTGTTATCTTCGTCGGGTCTCTTGACACTTTCTCCCTCCTCTGTTCCTTCGCTTTTCAATCTATGCTCCCTCTCGCTCCATCGCCGTGCGTGTTTGTCTGCCTCGCGGTTGCCAGTCAGCTGTTTCCCTCTGCTCTTGCCACGCTCCTCTAAACACGCTTCGAGCGGAGGATTCCTAGTTGGCCACGACTCCAACTATGCTGCCTTCGATCTTTTCTCTTTATCGAACTCGTTACTCCGATACTTTTCTGTCTCCCTTCGCTTGGATGCAATTCTTGCTGGCTGTTTAAATTTACTGGTGCATTGCGCCACGCGATCGACGCGCCATCTGTGACGGTCTCACTCCCCGAATGTGTCGCAGGTGGCTCTTGTATCGGCCGTTTGTACATTTTCAATGCAGGAATTTATAAAAATTAATTGTAATTATTCTTTCGAACGATAATTAATTTTTTGTGACACATTTATATCAGTTTTATTTTTTTTACAACGAAAAATTAAACTTACATTCTATTAGTTATTTGGTATTTCATTTACACATGTTGTTATTATTCTTTAATTGTATTATTTTTTGCTGTATTTTGTAGATATTAATTGTAAACTGCACACAAAATTTTCATAAGTTTCACCATGTAACTTTTGCGCTCACATTTTTCTGGTAAGTCAAAACACTGTTTTTTAATTTGAAAAAGAGTGGATGTATTTTTCAGCGTTTCTCGCTCATCACGCCACGTTGTGGCTGCGTGGAATAAATTTCATAAGCAGTGATTTTATCTATGTCGGTAATTCAGAGCGTGTCCAAGGCTAACAGAATATTTTAAGACTGATAACAGAATACATATGTTAAAATTCGAATAAACGTATCAAGATCATTAACATCTCTTCGAGTAACTACAATTATAATTTACATGTTATATTTAATTCAGTTATTTGTACTGCGATTAACATGAATTAAACGTTGCTTAACAAACTAAATAATTAATTATCATTATGCATGCGTGTAAAAGTTTACTACTTTTTATCATAATTATCTTGCAACATGTATAACAATTTGCAATGTGTATCATATCAATTCGTTCGATCGAGTTAATGCAACGTTAAGGGGAGATAAAGTATGTTTGTGTGTCATGTAGAAATTTGTAATAGATAACAGTATTAAATAACGTGACTACAGTGGAATTTTATGCACGTTATACACGATACAACGCTCGAGAGTAAATCCTGCGGTTTATGTGCGTCACATTTCTAGAGATGACGCCACGTGGTCTGTTGATCACTAAACTTATCGCCTTACATTGAAAGCGGTTATTTCTGTTGAAATGAATTTAAATGATGGCATTCAGCGTTTCGTAAATGTAGCTCTTAAATAGCAAGAATGTATGGGCCGTAAATCAACTAATGAAAACAGAATGTAATTTTATTGGCGCTAATTTATCTGGGGACGTAATGTGAAATTGTATTAAAAGATAGCAATGATCTTTATGTACTTTCTTCTTCTTTTTTGGTAGATCAGTTATGACGAAAGAGAAATGTAAACACTGAAACTGATGACTAGTACAATTGTTGTATTTGATTTTTAATAATTTTAATTTTTAAAAATATTAATTATATTCGATTTGAATTAATAGTACATTTTACAGTTTTAAAATAACGTTACAATTAGATAAAGCTTCGTGAGTAAACCAAGAGTGGCGCCACCTGTGCATGCTGACAGCGCCATTGAAATTCGACGGACTTATAATTAATTTAAAGTATGAGAATACATGAAGAATTGAAAGAAATACATGTTTTTCGATTATGTTCTGTTAAAAAAATAGGTCCAATGTTAAGCAACTTTTCCCTGCCCTAAATGTTTGAACTATAAACTAATTCATTTATTACATTTGAGATATCATTGTTACACAATTAAAGTGTACTTATAATAGTCATCTGCACTGAACAGAAAAAAAAACTAAAAATCAACGTTTTCAAGAATAATCCACTAAAGTACAAAATGTTTGTCATTACTGTACCAAGACTAATTTTATCTCGCTACCATAAAAAGCTATTACTCTTCATCTCAGCCATAAAACCGCATCGATTGAAAATAAGCATAAGATGCTAATCTAAACTACGAGATTAGAAGCATAACTTAGATGGCCGACAATACAAGCAGTTTAACCGAATGAAAATAAATTAAAAGGATAGCTCCAGGCGTTCGATCGGTATTGTCTCTGGCGTCTTGATGAACAGTTACCGAGTTATCCCGAATGGAACGCCTGAAGGGAGTCCAGGCCGGTAATAGTCCCGGCTGCTGGTCGGGGAACCGTAATGTCATAATAGAATAGCGATGTTAGTAATACCATCGCGTTGCAGCAGTATAGGCAACCGGCCGATTGACTGGTCCGTGCTGTCGGGAGAGGCCCAATTTGCATCGCATTGTGTACTCGTTACGCCTTCACTCGTGCGTCTACGTGCGTCTGTACGCGCGTTGCCGGCGTCGGCGTCGGCGCGTATCGGCCATCCCGACGGCTAAACCGCCACCGCGCCGCCGTTCCAGCAATCAGCGCCCTGGGAGAACCGTGGAAACCGCGGAAACCCCTAACTCGATTATCGTTTCTGGCATCGTTATCGTTATTAGTCGCTCCATCGGCCGGTTAACGCGTAACCGGAGAGACTAACTCTCGGCTCTCGTTGTTATTCCCTTTCTACTACTTTCCTCTTTTTCCTTCTACTGCATTTATTTCTACTCCTCTTTTTACTTTTCGGTCTTTAACTTACTGGTGCTATTGTTGTAGTTTGTTATTGGCGTTATTTATATAAATTGCTATTTATGTAGATTGATCATTTTGTTTTGGGGAAGTATTAATTTCATATTTAATTTATATTCAATTGTAGATGTTCAACCGCTCTATAATTGTTCATCTGATATTTAGCTGCTTGATAACAGTACGTTCTGTATCAAACTGCTCGATAGTGGAACGCTTGATAGCCAGCCGCTTGGTAATCATACACTTGATAGCCAGCCGCTCGATAATTGTACGCTTGGTATCTGACAGCTCGCTATCTTACAATACCTTAAAATAAACTTGTGAATTAATAACTCCGACTTGATATGAATTTCTAAAATGTAAAACTACAAATGTTCCAGTCTCTAAATATTCCTACCCTATCAAATTATCAAACTGCAAACGAAACACGTTCGAAGCACCAATTTTTGCGAATAGCAGTTCTAAATAAGTATTTCCAAAAAAATTGTCGAATGTTCATTTTCTGAACGGAACCCCATTTCGAAAGTACGAAACCATGTCAGTTAATCGCACGAGCGAAAAATTGTTCAGGTATTCCGCAAACCATCGACTTACGCGTAATTTCGAGGTGAAATGGGGCAACTTATTCTCCTGGTCTGCTCGCGTTGTATCGCGTGCCTAGCACGCGAAATATCTCATCCTCTCTCGATTCCATATTTCCATCCTGCTCGCGATGCGCCGGCACGCTTACGGAATTCTTTGAAAAACTACTCTGCAAAATTGGAGCCGCGAGAGCAGCGAACGAGGCAGCCGGATGAATAATAAATGCGGTTATCGTTTAGTTGATATTTTGAGGGGCGCGGACGGATGGAGGCCAGATCGTGGGATCGTGAAGGGTGTCGAGGGAAAGAGGGTGAAATGGTAGCCAGAATGAGTAACGGGGATGCACGAGAGAGAGAGAAAGAGATCAAAGCGTTGTTCCTGAGGGAGAGCTAGGCATATTTCCTTACATTTTTATGCTCCTTCATTGGGGATCTTATTAGGTCGTTACATATCAAATCAATCAGCGCCCTGGGAGAACCGTGGAAACCGCGGAAACCCCTAACTCGATTATCGTTTCTGGCATCGTTATCGTTATTAGTCGCTCCATCGGCCGGTTAACGCGTAACCGGAGAGACTAACTCTCGGCTCTCGTTGTTATTCCCTTTCTACTACTTTCCTCTTTTTCCTTCTACTGCATTTATTTCTACTCCTCTTTTTACTTTTCGGTCTTTAACTTACTGGTGCTATTGTTGTAGTTTGTTATTGGCGTTATTTATATAAATTGCTATTTATGTAGATTGATCATTTTGTTTTGGGGAAGTATTAATTTCATATTTAATTTATATTCAATTGTAGATGTTCAACCGCTCTATAATTGTTCATCTGATATTTAGCTGCTTGATAACAGTACGTTCTGTATCAAACTGCTCGATAGTGGAACGCTTGATAGCCAGCCGCTTGGTAATCATACACTTGATAGCCAGCCGCTCGATAATTGTACGCTTGGTATCTGACAGCTCGCTATCTTACAATACCTTAAAATAAACTTGTGAATTAATAACTCCGACTTGATATGAATTTCTAAAATGTAAAACTACAAATGTTCCAGTCTCTAAATATTCCTACCCTATCAAATTATCAAACTGCAAACGAAACACGTTCGAAGCACCAATTTTTGCGAATAGCAGTTCTAAATAAGTATTTCCAAAAAAATTGTCGAATGTTCATTTTCTGAACGGAACCCCATTTCGAAAGTACGAAACCATGTCAGTTAATCGCACGAGCGAAAAATTGTTCAGGTATTCCGCAAACCATCGACTTACGCGTAATTTCGAGGTGAAATGGGGCAACTTATTCTCCTGGTCTGCTCGCGTTGTATCGCGTGCCTAGCACGCGAAATATCTCATCCT